TCCTGCTGCCACCAACCGCAGAACCCTGCAGCCTCCCTGCTAATTAATTCAAACGAGCCCCTCGCATCCCCAGGCAGGAGGCAGCAGCCAGGGCTGATGAAATACAGGTCCCCCGAGCGGCTCCTCCACACAGAACAAAGAGAGCTCCCAGGCGCTCGCCAGGCCCTCGATCTGCCCCTGGCTTTGCAGGGGAGAGAGGAGATGGGAGAGCAACACGGGTTTGTGCAGGACAGGGCTGAGGTGTGGGAGGAAGGGGGGCAGCATGCAGCCTGTGGGCCCGGAACACTGGGCAGTGGGTGCTCACGGATCCCATGGGTGCCTGCAGCCCCACCGGGATGGGTGGGGAGCATGGGCTCTCGTGCTCTCCTCTTGCATAGGGCTGAGGGACAGAGCAGATGGCAGCTTCTCCAAAAGGATCTGACAGTGAATCATCCTGCCAAGGCTTCTCCCCCGCGATGGGTTCCATAGTTTTCCTCTGAGACTTTTGCAGAGGGAGCGAGTGGGAGCCTCACTGGGTGCTGTGGGGTGATGCCCCCCAGCTGTGCTCGTGCTACCCCTCCACAGGGGGAAGCTGAAAACCTCTGACTGAGCTCTTGTGGGGATGCATGACAGCTTTACCAGCTGCTGCTCTCCCGAAGGGTAATGCTGTTCTGAAGCTCCTTCACCTGTGTGGGGGCCAAAGCTAGGCTGGCTGGGATGTTAGCAAATGGAGCTGGCCGTGCAGATCTCCCAGGCAGCTTGGAAACATCAACCCTTAGGCGATTGTTAAAGCACGTTAATTACCAAGTGCTTATTGATCCTGGCTTTCCAACCCTCCCTAGCTCCTGGTTGCACCTCTAATCACGGCAGGCTTGGTGATGGGAGAGCTGGCTCTGGCCGGATTGTGGCTGAAGCTCAAGGGCTGATGTTTGGCAGTTCCTTGGTGCACCTCCGGCCACAGACCTGCCCGTGAGCCTTTGCTCGCAAGGGCTTTGCAGAGCGTCCTCTCCCTGCTCCTGACTTTCCTTGCTTCCTGCCTTTCCTCTGCTCGCCCCTGCAGCAGTGTTTCCTCTCTGCTCCTTCCCCTCCGAGCCGCAAAGCGAGTATAGGTATTCCAGTGGCAGGTCCCAGACCCGTCCCCCTTTGCTCCCAAGGGATCCCAGGCACAGCAGCCAACAGCCACCTTCCCACTCTGAATCTCACAGGCCCTGGGGCCAAATGCTGCTGGGTGCTGAGCACCCTGCAGCTGCATGGGCTCCTAGCCAGGCATGGTGCTTGCAATCAGTCAGAGTGCCCCCATCATCCCGGTCACTCACACTCCAGATAATTACTTATTTTACTAAAATAGCTGCTGTCACTGCAGCCATCCGTTGCTTTCATGACCGAAGGGAAGTGGTGTATAAATCACAGCCTGCAGGCCATGTCTGGACACCACAGGGATGGGTGAGAAATAAAGGCCAGATAGCTCAGGTTTGAGATCTGCCTGGAGGGTAGGGAATTCTCCAGGCTCACCAAAAAGAACTTGATCCCAAAGGCAAAGCCATACCCATTGCTCCACACCTGTGTAGTTTCAGTCTATTAACTCAAGAGCCATAAAATGTGCCCATCTCTGGGTGCACACACTGACAGCGCAAGGGAAAACACCCCAAACCGTCCAGCTCCACCCCTCACCACATCCTTGCCCTTGCAGGAGCTTTCCTGCGCATCCCGAGGTGCCCCATGCCAGGGCTCTACCTGGAAAAGGCCAGATGGAGCCTCGATGCTCCCATTGGAGCCTTGTTGCTCTGGTATGTGTCCCACTTCCAGCCCTGTGAGCTCCTGCTCTGTGAGTCCCACATGGCCAAAGGACAAGGAGAGGAGGGATGTCCCACATGGGGGATTGCTTTGCTACAGGACCCCGCTGCCCAGAGGCTGCCAGTTGCCAGACCCGGCATGTGGGGTCCTCATTAGCCCCAAGGCTGGAGCCAGAGGGGGTGACCCCCGTTAGGAGGAGCAGATGAGCTCAGGGTCCAGCCAGCGCTCTCCTGAACCTGCTGGCTGGTGCCACCACAGGGGGTTCCCACATTTCCATGTCTGGCTACAGCCACCATCAAGAGCCTCAAGTCCAAAAGATGAAGGTTCAAGGCTCTGACCTAATTACACCACCCAAGCCAGGCACCTCAAGTCACTTCTCAACAGCCACATATGCCCAGCGGCATTATATCCACATTGGGCAACTGGACTCAGGGGGCTCCAGCCCTTCTCAAAACAAACTCCCCGAAGGGCATCACATGGCAGTGACCACCCGGGCAGGTTTTCAGTGCTCCATCCTCAAACCACACAGCATCCCCGCCACCGTTCCTCTGTGCCTGCCTGGCTCCCATCGTGCCAGCAGCCTCCTGCAAAAGGGCCTGCTCTCCTCCAGAGCCAGGCGCCTCGCTAATGAATTTCTGGCCAGACATGAAGAGTCCTCAGGAATGTTAATAGTTTGCTGGAGGATAAGCAAGAGATTTGGAGAGATTTACACCGACTTTCATGTGACAGCCACGAAAGTGGCTCAAACCCTTCCCGTTTCTTTACACGGGGGTGGAGGGATGAGGCTGCCCCTGCGTCTGCGGCTTTCGCAAGTGATGGGGAGCAGGAAATGCAGGCAGCTCCTGTGGGAGCAGCATCGGGATGACCACGTAGGGTCTGTGTCTCCTCTGCCTCCCCTGGCCTCGCTGTTTCAGGCAGGGAATTTCTTCTAGGGCCAAAGAGAGAGCCTGAAGGAGGTGGTGGGACAGGGGGTGCAGAGCTGAGCACCCTGCTGATGTAGGACCCGGCCAGCCCCTCGGCCACCATCCCCTCTCCACTGCTGGCACCCAGCCGGGGCAGGCTGCAGTCGTGCTCAGTGTCTTACCTTCACGTATTCGCTGCCGGACTCCAGGCCATCGTGGTGGCTAGAAGGAAGGGGAAAAATAAAAATACATAAGTAAAGGGCAGTAAGTTGTGACAGTCAGGTCAAAGGCAGTGGTGGCACAGACGGGGGGAGCAGGGGTCTGTGCCCCTTGCCATGGGGCTGAGAGCATGGCCACAGTTTTGGGAGAGGTTCCCAGGGCCCCAGCACTGTTCCTGCCCGCTCCATGCCCACTCTTGGCGCAGGGCTTAGCCTCCCTAATGCGATCAGGGAAGAATGAGGCCTTTTTAGAGGATCTTTCCCCAAATCGGCTTGGGACCGTATAAGCTGAGCTAGGGAGACCCAGTGGCGAGGCTGGGGTCCCTGTGGGTCACGGTGCCGGGGGGCGCATGCCGAGGTGGGGGGCCCTGTGTCCTGTTCCCCAGCAAAGCTGCATTCCCAGTAAGCAGCTGTTGGGACGTGCCGCCCAGACAAGCATTTCTGTTTTTCTACGGCCTCGTGCAACCCTGCAGAAATCAAACTCCCACTGAAGCCAGGGGTGAACTGCAACGTCCTGGCTGAGACTAGGTTTGTCCTCCCAGCATACAGGCAATAGAAAGTCCCATTCTCCTTGGTGACATGTTCACTCTTAGCCCTACTGACAACCGACAGCCCACTCCAACAACCCTGAGTCGCAGCTGGTCCGGCAGCTTCTTTGCCATCATTTCATGGGGGACACAGGTGGCTGCTGCTCTTTCCTGAGCATGTAGCAATGCTGTTTCTGCTTTTTGGAGGTGCTGGGGGTCCTGCACACAAACCCGTTCTGGGAGCTGCACTGGTAGCAACCCTGAGGTACCAAATTCCTCCTCTGTGGGCTCCCTCCAGGTTGGGGATGGTGCCTGGTGGCTCAGAAATTAGTCGCCCAAAAGGAAGCAGGGATAGTAGAGGTGACTGCTGCCAGACGTTGCCCAGTGGACACCTCCCCATGGCATGAGAGCGGGTCCTGCCATGGTCAGCATGAGCCGCTCGGGGTGCCCTGCAGCGGGCAACCCCCACTCCTCCAAGCCCACACTGCTGAAACCACATCCCGTGCTGTCCAGCTCAGAAGGGAAAAAGGGGGCAGGAAATCAAGCCCACACTTGTTTTTGGGGAAAAAAAAAATAGAGGAACATTTGGGAGGGGAGACAGACACAGACTCCCCCAAGCAGATGCGGGCTGCCTGCCCACCCCAGCACTGCCTCTGCAGCCTGTTTTACTTTCA